CTCCCCCGACCTTTTTTTTTTTTTTTTTAAAGTTTTTGTTTATTTGAGGTAGAACGTAAGAAAGCATGAGCACTGGGAAAGGGGAGAAGGAGAGGAAGAAACAGGCTCTCCTCGGAGCAAGAAGCCTGACGTGGGGCTCGATCCCAGGATGCTGGGGTCACACCTAAGCCAAAGGCAGACACTTAACCAACCAAGCCACCCGTGCACCCCAAGCCTCTCCCCTTTTATTCACCCAGCCCCAAAACCACCTCTAAGGAGCTCTGACCTCCAAGAGCAGCTGGGGGTCCCCAGCATTCCATTATATATCCCTAACCCGGAGCCTCAAAGACCACGGCTGAAGCCTCCCCATCCACATCTCCCCGAGCTGGAACCCCATTAGCAGGGTCTGGGTCTCTGTAACACCACAGAGACCAGCCCTGACCACTTACCTGGAGCAGCAGATGGCACCCACGCCGTGTGTGTGCCCGGAGCCCTGAGCCACACGGGTCACCTTGCCAGCCTTGTTCATCCTCCAGAGACAGATACTCTGATCCTGGGAATCAAAGGAGTGAGGACAGAGCCCAGGCGGGGCTTCCCCCACGGGGACCCATACCTCCACACTTCAGATGCCCCACCTTGGCACAGCTGGCAAAGAGCCGCCCCTTCCGAAACACGTCCAGGGCCAAGACAATGTCTGGGAGAAAGGAGAGAGGAAAAGGTCATCGGTTACAGTAAAGGAGGGCATTCCAGCCCAGGATGCAGTGCTGGGGGCATGCGCATGAGGGCATGAGCTCCCTGACCTGTGTGGCCGTGGAGAATCTGGCAGGCCATTGTCTGCAGCTCAAACACTTTCAGGCTGGGGCTGTTGGAGGCCACAACAATGTGGGAGTCCTCAGGCCCAAGAAACCGGACATCCAGCACCTCCTCACTGTAGCCGGCAAACTGTGAGGGTGGGGGGCCGGAGGGACACCAGTCAGAGCCCGCGTGAGTGGCGGGCTGGCACCCCCGGGCTTCAGGCTGACCAGGGGCGGCGCTTACCTGTTTCTGCAGCTGTAGGGAGCGTGCCTCGTAGAGCAGCAGGTTGTGGTCGGCAGTGACGGTGAGGAGCAGGCCAGCAGAGCGGGCCAGAGCGCAGCGGGTCAGCTCCTGCCGGGGGCCTGCTGGCTGCTGTTGCATATACACACACTGCCCAGAGGCTGCCTCCCACACACGCAGCAGGCCTGTGTGGGGGGAAGTGGGTTGCTGGCATTCAAGTCCACGGACCGCCCCCAGCCCCTGCTGCCCACCCTGGCCTGGGCACACGCACCTTGGTCTCCGGCTGTCAGGAAGTGCAGGCCCTTGGACTTTATACCCAGCTCTGGTGCCGGTTCCTCCGGTAGCAGCACCGCGGCCTCTACGCTCTGAGGATAAGCCGGTTAGAGGCAGCCGCACCCCCCTCCCCTCGACTGGCTGGGCCCCCTGGCATCCCCACCTCAAACACTGGCACAGTCCTCGTGGCCTGGTAGCTCCGCAGGTCCCACACAACACAGATCTTGTCTCGGCCTGAGCTGGGGGTGGAGGTGGGGGGCGGGGGACACAGCCACCTCAGTCCCGAGTCTCAGCTGTGCCCTCCCCTTCCCGCCATGTGGCCTGAGCAGCTGGCCGCTGACCTCAGCATGGTGTGGCCATCAGCGCTAAAGGTCAGGGAGGTGACGGCACTGTAGTGGGCAGTCATCACGGCCAGACACGACTGGTCCTGCAGCGACCACGCACGGATGGTGGCGTCTGCAGCTGAGGAGAAGAGCAGCAAGCGTGCGGGGTCCGGGTGAAAGGCCACTAAGCTGCAGGCAGGGGGCGGGGGCAGCAGGTGAGTTGTGTGACCCCGGCCGTAAGGCCCCATCCTCCCTCTGCTGTCCTCTACTCACTGTACGACCCCTGGTGAGCCCCGAAAGTGGTGTGTCCCGTAGTGCCGCACAACGTCCCAGACACGTACTGCCCCATCACAGCCGCCTGTGGGAACGTGTCTAAAGTGAAGGGGCTGGTGTGCCTGAAGACCCCTGACTGTGTGCCCTCCGGGGGCCCAGCCACCCCGCCAGGGGCCTACCTGTGGCTAGCAGTGTGGAAGTGGGGTCAAAGGCCATGGCGGCCACAGGGGCTGTGTGTACTGCCTTCCACAGGCGGGTGACGCTGCCCTCTCGCCAGGCCCACTGAGCCAGCAGCAGTGCCCGGCTGGCTGTGACCAGCACCTGGAGAGCAATGCAGTTCAGCCAGGAGAGGAGAGGCTGGGAGAGCCAGGAGGGGAGAGGTGTGTCCTCCGTGGCCCAAATTTGCATGAGAAGTACAGAGCCCCGGACTCTTACCCCTGCCCCTGCCCCATATACCTCATTGTCAGGGCTGAGATCAAAGGCAGTGATGTCCTCCTGGTCCTCCTAGAGGCAAGCAAGAGTCGGCACACAGAGCGCCACGAGCACAGGCTTCCCTCCACACTAGCCCACTGCCCTGGCTCTTCCCACCCTCACCTGCTCCAGGCTCCGCAGGACCGCCCCCGAGGCCACGTCCAAGATGTTGACTCTGGTACCACAAATGCAGAAGAGATGCTGCCCAGTCTGGTCCAGCTGGTGACAGAAGGGTGTCAGCCAAGATAAGCAACTCTCGGCAGCCCCTGCCCGCCCCACCGCTCTGCCCCTCCCAGGGCCAGTACCTGCACCTTCCCACCCTTGTAGAAGGGCTCGATCTTGCGCTCGACGGCATAGCTAGAGAGAGAACAGCGTTCGAGAGTGAGGCACCCACCCCTTGGCCCCCAGCGCCCAGCGCTGGGCTGGGTGCTCTCCCAGAGCTCAACCCAAGAGGCCCCTGCCCCTGAGGAGTTCCCAGGCAGAGGCTGGGATGCAGGGGGTTGGAGGTGGCTCTTCTCATTCTTCTCTGTCAGCAGCACTGAGGTGGGTGTCACAGAGGACGCCAGACCCCGAGCTGGCCGCGATTCACACCAAGTTCTCAGGCAGTACCGGCAAGGAGGCGGGGTTTCCCAGAGTCACCGCAGCAGACCTGGGGAGGGTCCCCTGCAGGCGGTGGGAGGCCAGCCTGGGGGACCAGCGGAGGATACCAGCCCAGAGCATCACCCCCCTCAGCAGCTCCTGCCCCCTCCCCAACCCTAGCTCCTTCCTCCCACTCCCCAAGTAGCACTACTGTCTGCAGCCTCACGGTGCCTCCTCCCTCCCTTCTCGGCGGCCTCCACGCTGGTCCAGGCCACCGCAGGGTCATCCGGACAGCTGCTCCAGCCTCATCGCCCAGCCCCCATCCACCGCCTCAAAGCCTGCTGCCAGGAAGGCCTTTCCAAACATAAACATACCCTGCCTTAAAACCCTCCCCTGTCCTTACGTGCTTCTAAGACCCTCACTTCTAAGCCAAGGCTCCTGCCACACAGGCTGTCCCCCGTCGGTGGCGTGGGTCTCTCTTCCCCGATTTCTCTGGCGCCCGGCTCACTCCACTGGGAGGCTTGGCGCCCGCATGAAATGGAGCCCCCAACCGCGGAGCCCAGACACACTCTTAACCCCAAGCCTTCCCTTCGGCAGTGCTCATCGCTCCCACTGACGGAAATGAGCTGCTTAGCGCGCTTACTCCATCAGACCGAGCTAGGCGCGGAGAGGAGTCCGTCCCGTCCCGGGCCCTGCGCACTAAGATGTTCCCCAGAGTCCCTGGGTTACTGAATCAGCCCAGGATTCAGGGCCTCCAGGGCCACAGCGGACGCCCTCTTCCGGCTCCATGTTGAAGGGGACAGGAGGTGAGAGCCCCGCGCAGCCTGCCCCGGGGCCCAATACCGGAGGCTCCGGGAGACCCGCTGGGGTCCAGGACCAGCCCGCCCCTTCCTCCTTTAGTTTTTCACCCACAAGCCCCGATCGGCTCCTGCTGTAATAACGGACGCTGGCTCCGCACTTTGTAATACCACAAGCAACACGACTCCCGCGGGCCAGTTCATACGCCGCCCTCAGGCTCTCCCCAGACCCGAACGGGCGCCCGGTCCAGGACAGGCACACCTGCCGCTCGGGCGGTGAACCCCGCTCCCTCCCTGGGCGGCACCCACAGCCGCAGCGCCCCGGCTCACTTGGCCTTGAAGCGGCCCACTCCCGCCACGGGTTCCGCCATGTCGCCGCAGCCGCCGCCGCCGCCGCCGCGTGAGGGAGACACGGACGCCACTCCTCACTGCCGGCGCGCCGCAGATGGCATCACCGGGCACGACGCCTGTGACGTCACCAGCTGCGCGCTCGGCGCCATCTTTGCTGTGGGCAGCCCCTGCTGTGTCGGGAAGCGGAAGCTGGTGGAGGCGTCTCTGGCTTGGAGGAACCGGCGTAGAGCCGCATGGGGGCGGCTGGGCCTCCGGGGGGCGGCTGAATGCGGGGCCCGGGGTTTGCCCGCTGTTGGTTTTTTTAGTGAAGTTTTTTTAAAAAGGAGTCATTGGAAATGTTTACTGAAGTCATCCCGAGGCTCTTGGCCCTCGGCATTCCGGGATTTGGGTACAAGGCCGTCAGGTGCTCCTGGTCGGCTGCGATAGATATGGAGGGTAAATGAATAAATCGGGTAACTTCAGAGCCTCTCAGATATTTATTGATCACATTCTACCTGCAAAGCGCTGTTCTAGACGTTTGGGAGGCCCCAGGGAAGCAGGTGCTAGAAGAGAGGGCTGGGGGAGGTCGGGCAAGGAGTCATCGGGAGCGGTGGGCGATTCGTGCTGTGGAAAGAACAGATCTCGGCCACGGGACAGGGCGGAATGCAGGAGGTGCGCTTTTAAATGGGGCGGTGGGGAAGGTAAGGTGTTGCCCGAGTAGAGCGGGGACCCCTGTGGCTGCCTGGGGGAACAGTGCTTGTGGCTAGACGGGTCCGGAGACCATAGGGGCAGGAGATAGAGATAATGGGGTTTCCCTGTGAGGCGTGGGCTTCTCCTAGGAGTTGAGGGCTTTGAGCGGTTGGCTGATTGGGAAGTTGGTTAACAGACTTAGTAGAAGTAACAGGAAGGAGACTGGGAGATCAGGGGAAACCTCTGCGAGGAAGAGACATCCGAGGGAAAAGAAAGCAGGCAAACGGAAAGCAAGGAGAAGAGCCTTCCGGGCAGGAGCGGCCCAGGGAGAAAGGCCAGTGTCCCCGCGTGGTGAAGGCAGTAGTACCTGGAAGTGGGGCGGGTGGCAAATGGGATAAAGCTGTGAGGCCGGCAGGCACAGAGGCAGCGGGGCGGGGCAGGCCTGGGATCTGCGTTTATTTTCCCCTCAATTTACACGGTACCGTGGCCCTGGGGCCCCCACACCTCGGCCCCAATGCTGCCTTCTGGGTTGGCCTCGGCCTCCCCTTGCGGGGCTCCCATGAGCAGCGCGTCGTCCTCCTCCAGGAAGTCCCCGAGCTGGGCCAGCTGCCTGCGGATGAGAGTGGTGGTGCGGTGCACTTTGCGCATGCGCCGCAGCAGGCCCAGCACCAGGATCCGGCTGCGCTCCTGACGCTGGTTCCAGGCATCGCGCAGATCCCGGTAGCAGTTGTGGTGTGCACGCTCCGCGGGGCCCAGGGTGGCCCCACAGCCCAGTGGGCACTGCTGCTGGGCCCCACGTTGGCAGTGCTGCCGGTGCTCAGCCAGAGCCCCACGTGGCACCCGTGCCGTGCAGCCCTCGTTGGGGCAGGCCATCAGCTCGAAAGGGCATGAGTCCTGGTGCCCCCTTCGATGGGCCAGGGGGCAAGTCACCAAGCAGCCTGCTTCCGCATTCTTGCACTGAGGGTGACGGAGAGCACCATATGAGCCAAACCAGGTGGGACATGGCCACCCAGCACAGGAGTAGCCTGCTTTACGTAGGACCCCCCCCCCCCCATCTATGACTTTCCTGACCAGGGAGCCCACCAAGCTCTCCCGGCATCAGTGATGTGGAGGGGGAAATAGTTGGGCAAATGTTTGGAGGTGGGAAGAATCTAGACCTCTGAGAGCAGGTGCACAGGGCTGAAGGCTTGAGGGACTGGGGTATACATGGTGGGGCTGACCTTGCTGTTGCACAGAAGCCAAGTTTGTTTGTTTTTTAAAGCTCAGTTTCCTCAACGATAAAAATTAGGGACCAGGGTGATGGCCGGCAGAGAGGACACTTCATCCTCTAAAAATCTTGGATAATCCCCATTTTACAGCTGAGACCCTAAGGGCTCAAAAAGCTTAGGTAACTTGCTCAAAGTCACACAGCAAGTAAGTGATAGAGATGGGACCCACACAGGCAGGACTGATGACCTTGAGGCTGCAATCAGCGCTGCTAGACCAGAAACCCTGGGTTCTGAGGACAGGCTTCTCCTTACCCCCTCCCCTGGCTGGAGCGAGAAGGGTGCTGGGAGCTGGTGCTTCAGGCTACCTTGACTTCCAGGCGGCCAATCGTCCTGCGGAGTTTATTTACGTGGACCATCTTTTTCCATTTCACCTCTTTCCTGCAGCACGGACAGGTCTTCTGTCTAGGAGGCAGGAATGGGTGGTGAAGAGTGTTGGGAGTGGGAAGGGACCAGCACACCTTCCCAGGTGATCCCTTCTCTTGAGCTGGAAGAGGCCTGAGGGTTTCATGGGGACTCAGCTCTGAGGCTGGGGCCACGGGCTGTAAGTGCCACAGGGTGCGGGGACACACGTACTTTATTGTCCTAGATTTGAGAGCTGATTCTTTTTTTTTTTTTTTAAGATTTTATTTATTTATTAGAGAGAGAGAGAGTAGGCAGAGAAGCAGACAGAGAGAGAGGGGGAAGCAGGCTCCCCTAAGCAGAGAGCCCGATGCGGGGCTCGATCCCAGGACCTGAGCCGAAGGCAGAGGCTTAACCCACTGAGCCACCGAGGCACCCCTGGGAGCTGATTCTTATGCCCACTCTGACATAATGCTTGGCCCACCCTCCTCTCTGTTCTGGGCCACAGGAATGGACACAGCCCTGCCCTTGTCCTCCCAGCCTCTTGGGTGCCCACTAGCACCTGGTTAGCCACCGGAGGATGCATTTCTTGCAGAAGATATGGCTGCATGGCAACCTCACCGGCCTCTTGAGAACCCCATGGCACACAGAGCACAGGAAGTTGCAGTCGGGAGGGCTGGCGAAGAGGTTGAGATCATAGCCACCACTCTGCAAAGACCAGGCCAAAATCAGGGACTGGCTGAACCAGGATCAAGCCACACACCCAGAGGGAAACCCCAGGATGGGGAGGTGGACCATGAGAGTCCCAAGTGGAGTGGTGGGTCAGCACCCACTTTGAGGGGGCAGCGGTGAGGGTCAAGACCAAGACTACTAGTCCCCAACTGGAGAAGCTGGCCTTGGCCTGGAGTTAGACCTGGCCAGAGCCCTCACAAAAGGCTACTTTCCTTATCTTGTTTGGGAGCTGTTCACCCTTGCTGAGTGAGGAGTGGGGTCCAACTCTGGGGAGGTCTCAAACTAGGAACGCATTTAAGGGCCAGAGGCAAAAGGGACCCAGTCTCACCATGATCTGTGTCCGGATGGCAGCTCCACTGACCCCCAGGGCTCAGGAGCCTCCATTTTACAGCAGGAGTGGGCCGACCTCACAGTGGCATTGTCCAGCTCAGGCCAATCACAGCCCTGGGTCAGGGCCCACTGGGATCCTGTACCATATGGCCTTTGCTCGGAGTGGAGGGATTAGGTAGTCTGGACCTGGGGCAGGTCCCTGAAGCCCGTCTTGGGAGTGGCTGTCAGCTGATACCCAAGCAGCACTAGGCTGGGAACCAAACTTCTGATGACTGTTTCCCCAAAGCTGAGGCTTTGGCAGGAATGTAGGAATTGTTCCTTTCTCCCTTCTCGAATAGTGCTGTCCAGGCCAGATCTCCAAGAGCGCAAGGACTTTTGACCCACCATCAGGTCTCTTAGGATCAAAGACTCATGGAACTAGCCGCAGAGTACAGATCAGGAAGATCTGGACCAGATGACAGAGACCCATGTAACCTGTGGTGCCCAGTCGGTGGGGTGCCTAGTCTGTGAGAAAGCCTTCCAGAACATAAGCTCTGACCACGTGGGCAGGCCTTTGAGAAGACACTGGGAAATCAAGCTCTACCTGGGAAACCAGCATGTTCCCCATCTGGAGCACGGAACCGGGAACTGCTCGTTCAGTAGCCCTGAGTACCGAGCTCACCAAATCCTATCCCAGACCCTGTGCCCTCCTGAGAGCAGTAAGGGGCCAACACAAGCCCTTGACCTGGGAATCGTACACTCTCATTCTTGTATCAACTTGCAAAAGAAAACCCAGTTATTTCACTGGCAAAAGCGTGTTTATTTGGGAGTAACCACAGCTCAGAACGCGCAAGCTACAGCGAAACCACAAGCAATCCCCCAACAGACAAAACAAAGGAACTTTATTTCATTGAGAAAGAAAGCTGGGAGGGATCTTTTCACGGATCGAAGTCCACTGGAGAATTCAGGGTGACGCCTGAGCTGCGAGAGTAACCCCCATGTCGTTCCCTATCAGGGCCTGTAACCGATAGTGAGCCCCATGGCTCCCCATCTGGCCTCCCGACTTCCCCTGGGGATGTTTCCCTTCATTGTCACCCTCGCCAATAGGTTGGTGGCCCAGCCCACTCGCCACAAGCTCACAGGTGCTTCGCTACTGTGGAAGCGATGCGGTATGGGACACACAGCGGGGCTTCAGGTCGGGCCCCGCCACCCACGGAGCGCCACGCAGGAGTCAGTGCAACCCCTGGGGCCCAAGTTGCACCCCTCCGTGGCATCCGACGCGGAACTGGGCCGGCCGGCAAGAGGACGTGTCGCAGAGGGTCCCTCCTCCGCTGCACACCTTGCTCCCCGCACCCAAAGATGCAGCTCCAGGCGGACGGGCGGGGGGCGCCCACACGTGCACAACTCAGACCGACAGCTCTACCGGGCGTTGGCGGCAGGGCCCCCCCGCCCCCCGCGGTCCTGGCGGCGTGGGCCTCACGGTCCGGACATCGGCGTCCTGGGGGCAGAACATGGGGTCAGGGGTCGGAGGCCAGAGCGCACGCGGGCGGGGGACGGCGGGGCGCGTGTCGGGGCCTGGGTTTCACCGGCCCACACGGACGAGCGGGCGGTGAGCTGAGGCCCCCGGTGGCTCTGGGCGCCGAATCTCACCCGCGGCCACGGCCAAAGCCGCGGGTGATTTTCAACCAACGCCGACGTCCCGGCTACCACCCAGGGTCTCGCGGGCAGAGAGCGCGAGGCGCGGCGCGCGGACCTACCTCGCGGCGCCCGGCAGCCGGGCGGCAGCGGCGCACACGTTCAGGCCCGCGAGGCCGCAGGTGCGCAGGCGCGCAGGCGCACGCGGAGCGGGCGGGGAAAGCCGGGAGCGCGCGGCCTCCGCTCCCATAAGCCCGTCGCGGACGCGCGCCTGGGGCGGGGCCGCTGAGATCTCGCGGCACCTGGCGTGGTATAAAGACTGGCTCCGCGCGGCCTCGCTCTTCCTCTCCGAGAAAACACGTGAGTGTGTGGGTTTTCCGTGGTGGGTGCTGCGGGGCCCGCGCCGGTGATCCGCGGCCGTCCGGCGGGGCTCGGTCCGGCGCGCTGGCGCTTCCGGGTGGGAGCCGTGGCCCCGGCAGACTGTATATGCCCGGGCCTCGCTGACCGGCCCACTCTCGTTGTTCCTTTCAGCAAATGGCGGATGACGCCGGTGCTGCGGGAGGGCCCGGAGGGCCCGGGGGCCCTGGAATGGGAGGCCGCGGCGGTTTCCGCGGAGGCTTCGGCAGCGGTATCCGGGGCCGGGGCCGGGGCCGTGGTCGGGGCCGGGGCCGAGGTCGCGGAGCTCGCGGGGGCAAGGCCGAGGACAAGGAGGTAGGTGGGGTCCTCGCGGGAGACGGGCCCGGGGCGGCGCCGATCGGGGCACCGTGGTCACCGAGGCCTTGTTCCGCAGTGGATCCCCGTCACCAAGCTGGGCCGTCTGGTCAAGGACATGAAGATCAAGTCCCTGGAGGAGATCTATCTCTTCTCCCTGCCCATCAAGGTAAGGCGGGGTCCTTGCCCCCGGTGCGGGGATGGCATGTGTGTCCCGGGCGCAGCCGGTGTGCGTGCGCGAGCGTCCTTTGTGTCTGCCGGGGGTGTTCCGCTGAGACGAAATGGGGACGGCTGGAAAACCGGCATGGGGATGCGGGTGGAGGTTCTCACGGGAAGTGTCCCAGGTGGCTCCTGGGCTTTGTGCGGTAAACGCCTGCGTGGCCCCGTCCTCGCCCCGCAGGAGTCTGAGATCATCGACTTCTTCCTGGGAGCCTCCCTCAAGGACGAGGTCTTGAAGATCATGCCTGTGCAGAAGCAGACGCGCGCCGGCCAGCGGACCAGGTTCAAGGTACCCCAGCCCCCTTGGGTGTTGTGAGCTGTGTGTGCGCGGGGTTCGGTGGGACTCTCTCAGCTCTGCATGGTCACACTTGATACCACGCGTGTGGCTTTCGTAATCGGGAGAGAGAGAAAGGACCTCTTCGGGACCTCCGAGTGGCTTCACAGTGGCCACCCTTTTCTCGAGGGGTGCCACAGATCCTGGGTGGTGGCCCGTGATGGCCGTGCTGACCAGTGGACCACCAGCCATCTCAGGCTCTTCACAGGCATTTGTCGCCATCGGAGATTACAATGGACACGTCGGTCTGGGTGTCAAGTGCTCCAAGGAGGTAGCCACTGCCATCCGTGGGGCCATCATTCTGGCCAAGCTTTCCATCGTCCCTGTGCGGCGAGGCTACTGGGGGAACAAGATTGGCAAGCCCCACACTGTCCCGTGCAAGGTAGGCTTGGGGGGGCAGTAAGCGACGGGGCCTGTGGTGGTGCAGACTCCCCGTAGGTCATCTCCTGATACCTCCACCCTCCAGGTGACTGGCCGCTGTGGCTCTGTGCTGGTGCGTCTCATCCCCGCCCCCAGAGGCACTGGCATTGTCTCGGCCCCTGTGCCCAAGAAACTGCTGATGATGGCCGGTATCGACGACTGCTACACCTCGGCCAGGGGCTGCACTGCCACCCTGGGGAACTTTGGTAGGTGGCCTTCACGGGGGCTGTGGCCTCTCTCAGCTCCGCTTAATCATACTGTGTGTGTGCTTGGCGTACTTCCAGAGAGAGAGAGGAAGGCCCTCCTAATGCACGGCAGACTGGCCCCAAGTGGCCTCTCTGTTCCTAGGAGCGCGACATCTGTTTGCACCTGGGGTGTTGTGTCCCTGAATCTGCCAACCTTCTCCTGTTTCTCTGTTCCAGCTAAGGCTACTTTTGATGCCATCTCCAAGACCTACAGCTATCTCACTCCTGACCTCTGGAAGGAGACTGTGTTCACCAAGTCTCCCTATCAGGTACTGCCTGCCCAGCTCCCTCGTTAGCCTCAACGAGTGCCCAAGGTGCTGGGGTGTGGCTACAGCTAAAGCCTTGTTTCTCTTCTCTAGGAGTTCACGGACCATCTTGTGAAGACCCACACCAGAGTCTCTGTGCAGAGGACCCAGGCTCCAGCTGTGGCTACCACATAGTTTTATACAAGAAAAATAAAGTGAACTAAAGCTTGTTAACAGTGTTTTGTTTATTTCGCTTATGATCTTAGTCGTAAGCTGGACTTACAGGGAGACGGAACCAGTACGGTCAGCAGATCCAAGTGGGGGACCGAAAGTGACACCAGGAACAGCTTTCTTATTTAAACTTTTTTATTTGAGTTGTATTGTTTCAGGAAGGTGCTCAAGGAGCTGCTTTAGGCAGCGGCAGCCTCTTTAGCCGCCTTTCTCTCCGCGCACATGCGCTGCTTCTGCTTTGCCAGGCACTTCCTGGCGGAGTAATGTGCTCCCAGGTCGTGATCTGGGAAGGAGATGGGAGGGAAGTCAGGGGCGGTTTCTACCCTGGTACAGACCAGAGCCCTTTTTACAAGCGGGGAGGAAACAGCGATGACACTTAGCAGTAAAGGGACCTTGAGTCTAGGGCTTAATACCCCCTCCCCCAAACAACTGGCAAAATCTGGGCTATGATGTTGGGGTTCAAGCATCAGACCGGGGTGGGCGCTTGCTTACAGCGGTCCTGGTAAGCCTTGGCCACCTGGGTGAACTGCTCCAGCTCCTTGGCACAGTTCTGCCGGTAGCTCTCGCCTTCCCGCTGCTGACACGCCTTCAGCCTCTCCTGGATAATGTTGACAATTTCTTGATCGACTTTACTGAAAAGAAAAAAAAAAGTTTATGAGAAATCCTTTCCCCGTATGCAGAAGACAGTAGAATAAAAGCAAAACCTTAAAGCCCTGTTGTCTGGCCCCTCCACCCTCAGAATCTGGGCCAAACCCAGGAGGTTTTGGCCCCTGACCACCATCCACAGTATCCCTGGGGGATGAGAGCCCAACAGGAGATCTCACTAAGCAAGACTTGTTTTGTTTTTTTTTTTAAGGATTTTATTTATTTGACAGATCTCGAGAGGCAAAGGGGCAGGCAGAGAGAGAGGAGGAAGCAGGCTTCCTGCTGAGCAGAGAGCCTGATTCAGGGCTCGATCCTAAGACCCTGAGATCATGACCTGAACCAAAGGCAGCGTCTCAACCCACTAAGCCACCCAGGCGCCCCAAGACTCTGTTTCTTAACTAAGAAAGGACACCCAAAGACAGGACATACTAGTCTCTTCTCCACTGCATTTCTGCTTCAAACATGCACAAGATATCCTTCTCCTGGCACTCGGTGATGTCTGGCACACGGCGGAACTCCCGGTGGTAGTAGTAATACCTGTTCTTCGCGTGCTGCCGCTCTATAAACTCTGTAAAGAGAAAACCCCAGACTCTAAAGGCCCTGTTGGTTTGGACAGGCCACGGTTAGAATGTGCTCTTAGCTCTGTTCTTTTCTCACAAGCCACGGAAGGGGCAGACTGCCCAAACCTTTCTGGCTTTTACTAAGACTGC